GGTTGTCTTTTCACTGTTTTGGTGGTGTCCATTGAAGCACAAAGGTTATGAATTTCGGTGAAGTCCAGTTTGTCTAATTTGTCTTTTGTTATTCATGCTTTGGTAGCATTTCTAAGAAACCATTGCCTAATCCAAGGTCGGGAAGATTTACAGCTTCTTGTTAGTACTGGTTTCTGTTTTCACTTTTTTCTGATTGGAGAACATGCTTCTGTGATTTCAGTCTTTTTAAGTTTATTGAGACTTGTTTTATGGCCTGACCTGGTTTATTCTAGAGAATGTTCAATATGCAATTGAGAAGATTGTGTATTCTCCTGTGGTTGGGTGAAGTGTTCTATTGATGTCTCTTAGTTCTAGTTGGTTTTTAATGTTATTCAAGTCTTCTGTTTCCTTGCCGATCTTTTGTCTTGTTCTATACATTATTGCAGGTGGGGTATTAAAGTCTCCAAATATTGTTGAATTGTCTGTTTCTCCCTTCAGTTCTGTCTGGTTTTGCTTCTTGTATTTTGAGGCTACATGTATTGTATTCATGTTATTACGTCTTATTGTTGGTTGACCTATTTATAAAATGTCCATCTTTGTCACCTCACACCCATTAGGATGGCTACTGTCAAAAAATTAGAAAATAACAAATGTTGGTGAGGATGTGGAGAAATTGGAACTCTGGTGCACTGTTGGTGGGATTGTAAAATGGTGGAACCATTATGGAAAACAGTGTGGAGTTTCCTCAAAATATTAAAAATAGGCTGGGCACAGTGGCTCACACCCAGCACTTTGAGAGGCCAAGGCGGGAGGATCAATTTTGACGCCAGGAGTTTGAGATCAGCCTGGGCAACATAGTAAGAGCCCTATCTCTACAAAAAAGAAAAAAATTATCCAGACATGGTGGTGCATGCCTGTAGTCCCAGCTACTCAGGAGGCTGAGGCAGGAGGATCATTTGAGCCAGGAACTCAAGGCTACAGTGAGCTATGGTCACACCACTGTACTCTAAGCTCGATGACAGAGTCAGACCCTGTCTCTAAAAAAAATAAAATAAAAAACACAACTACCTGGAAATCCAGTAATCCCACTTCTGGGGATATCACTCAGCCTTGAAAAGGAAGGAAATCCTGTCACATCTTACAACATGATGAACTTTGAGGACATTATGCTAAGTAAAATAAGCCAGACACAAAAAGAGAAGCTACATGATTCTACTTATATGAGGTATCTAAAGTAGTTAAATTCTTAGAAACAAATTGGAACAGCAGTTACCAGGGGATGGAAGAGGGGAGAAATGGAGTTGTTTAATGGGTGCAGAGTTTTAGTTTTGCAAGATGAAAAAGTTCTGGAGATCTATTTCACAGCAATGAGAATATACTTAACCC